TATTAGGTAATTCCGTAAATTTTATTTAAGGAAATAATGAATAGCATTAATAATAGTTTTATGTTTAGGCTAATAAAAAGTATATTATATGTTTATATGGACCAACATTTTTCTCTAGTAAATTTGAGAAGCATTCTCATGCTGACACGTGGCTACCAAAGAATGTTGTAATGCTTCTCAAATAATATATAGGGGATTGGTACATTCTTCAATATTACGAGTAATATTTTATTTCTATAGGCACTTGCATGTGAGACTAATCGGGAATTAACAAAACGATTTTTCTACAATAATGACGTCTAATTACCCTCTAAACACAAATCCTCTATAAAATGCATAATTACCATCTAGCAATTTTTTGAACATTGATTTATGAAAGAATAATTAAATTCTTATTTCAACTTTTTTTTTTCTTTCCAAAGTGAAGTATAATTTTACAACAACACCAGAAAAAAAAAATGTGAAAAAGATTTACTCGTTACCTTCCTTGTAAGATTTCCATTTGAAACTCTCAATAAAACATATGGATCATTTAACTGGGACTGCTAGGAATTGCTTGAATCGTAGCTTCTCTACTCACAGCGGGAACTCTTTCTGCAAGAGATCGAGATTCCTTGACTCACAAGCTTCGATCATGTCTTGTCGCGAGGCACAACTGCATAAAGTTAAGCAAAGGTAAAAAAAATTACAACGACATTGACGGATTTAATGGGTTCTTTCTTCTTCACAAGCTTAAAGGGATGTACCTTAACGAGATCCTTAAGTATTGCCATGCGTTATCGGCTTTAGGATTCATGACAAGGGCACGAACATACTAAGGGATTGATTCTTTGTACATCCCATGTTACATTTAGAAACACATAATATATAACACAAGAGGTAAGTTAATTCCCGTGCAAAACAATCACCAAACATCAGATATTTGCTTCTAACACACGTAAAAACAAAGCAAGAACTCTAACCTAGTTTGCGTAGCTGATTCCCATGTTTGCCCAAGCACGAACATAATTAGGTTTTATATCTAGAGCCTGCCAGTGAAAAAAAAAACAGAACACGACATCAGAAACAGAAACAATGAAACTTAGGCAAGTTTTGATCAAATTGATAAGCAGATATGGCATCAGCACTCAGGACACTGTTGGCTTGTGTGGCACCAAGCTTATTCCAAAGAGAATAATCGTTTGGTTTTAATTGTAACGCTGTTTGGAAGGAAGTCATTGCTCTATCGAATTCCCTTGACAGATTGAAGAGAACACCTAACACTATATGCACATCAGCGTCCTCAGGATTCATATGAGAAGCTTCTGTGAATAATCTAGCAATCTGTTTATACATAGAGAACGAACAAAGTTTCAATACAACAATGAGAGGGGTGAGATTCAGCTGCGGAAAATTTACAAGAGGAAGAGCGCTTACATCAGCAGAGTATAGAGAGTCAGCAAGCTCTGGAGGCGCGATCGCTCCATACTTGGGGTGATTCCGCAGCCATCCGTATAAGTATTTCAAAGCAGTTTCTTGCTCGAACTCTGTAATTACAGAGGATAAGATATTAGTCACCTAACTGATTACAAAAAAGAAAACTGTAAAGCCACGAGTATCCATATTGAGCAGCAAGATACTGTCACAAAACAAGGCACTGGCCATTGGTATGGCTCACACCCAGCGCAAGAAGCACCTCTAGATTTGGTGGATCGGCCTCATGTGCCCGCATCATTGCAGCTATTGCCTGCATCCACAATATTATAAGATTTAAAAATCGAGGGTAATTAGTGGTTCATGCAAATTAATCTGACTAACCTGTTGATCATCATCATTCTCTGCGTGTGTGACCCCAAGTAATCTCCAACCTTCAGCATTCTCAGGATTTTTCATAACCTCAGCTTCCAGTGCAAGCGCTGCTTCACTCAGGAGTCCTTTGCGAAACAATTAGTGTTCTTCTTTCATAGGTTCAGGGTGACCCACATAAGGATTCATGTCGGAGAAGACGTAGACGCCACTAGCTTGTTTTCAGCATTTCTTTCAGTCAGAAACCTGGAGAGGCAGAGACTTATGTTAGATTCTTGAAAGTTGAAGATGCATGTTAATTTAACATTGTTCATATCTTCATAGATAAAAACTAGAAGGTAATTAAATATAATCCCTTGACTAAGGAGGCAAAGCATCAATAGTAAAATGAAACCTGAACTTTCGTGATAGAAAAAAGTGAATAGTTGCGAAAGGAAACACACTACGGAACCAGATAAATTGCACAGGATGTAACAAAAGAGGTAAAATGATTAACGAATGAAATTGGACGTACTCATCATAAGCATTTGCCCATGCATCAGCTGAGCTGTCACCTTGGGGCCCTTCAGCAAATTCATCAATCCAGTCATCAACATTCAGCTTCGAAAACTCATTAACCCATTGGTCCTCTGCTGATTCTTGCTGTACTCTCCCGGAAGCAAACTCATCAGCCCACTGTTCTGGTCCATGTGAAAGCTACACACACACCAAATTAAAAAAAAAAAAAAGCTTACATTAGATGCACGAAAATACTTCTTATCGAACAGAGACGATATGATGTCAATAAATTTCTAACATGTCTTCATATTCTGTAAGTAAAAGGAACCATTTCACGGGGAAAAAATGTGGACAGAAATCAACGCTGACGCCTTTCTACTATGGATGCATTTTTAAACAGAAAATGCAGGAGGTCCACTACAACAGCCAAGCATTTTTCAGATGCTTCAACTGCAAAATAAAGGCTATGCAAGAAAGGCATAACAGCATATCAATTTGCACTAGCATGCTATCAGTAGCGAATGAGACCTAACAAAACATACATTATTAATCAGCACATACATACTTTCTCATTTGCAAACTGATCAGCCCAGCTTGGCGGCCCCAGATACTGCTGTTCGATTCAGTAGCCCATTCCCCCAGGGCTGATCCTGGTTTGACCTCGTTCTGATCAATAATGAGCTCACCCCGGCTCATCTTTGAAACAAACTGGAGGAATTTTGAATTCTGCATTCACCAAGCATTTTGCCAAAGTTTTAGATAAATCTCAACAACAGCTCAGAAAATTGGAACTAAAATTTTGTGATGAAAATTCGGAGAGATCTTCAATTCTAGTACAAAAATCAAAACATCACCACATCAGCCCTAAAGAAACATTTTTCATGTGCAGTACAAGTTCTCAGCAATGGAAATAAGGGAACAGAACAACCTATAAAAAAAAGATAATTCTTCCAACAGTACATTATACTGCATAGTTATTTGCTGAAACTAAGATCAGAGGCTTTAGGCTTTTTAGAAATGAAGGAATTTACTGTGAAAGAAGGGTAGGTTACACCAACATGAAATTTCAGATTGCCATCCTGAGAGAGTGTATGGGCAAGCTTACGAGTCTGCTCCATTGCAGCTATATTTTGCATATTCATACTTCTCATTTGGTTTGACATCAATTGAGATTGACCCTAAGAAAAAAATAAAAGAATGAAAAAAGCTTAAATGCCAACTATTTTCATCAGAAGTTGAAAAAATTATATCAGAAAGCTATAGGTTGATGGCCAATTAAACCCGAGTTAAACCCTATACTCCCTATTGACTGATATTATAACAAAAAGTCACAACAGATTCAGGCTTTTGAACAACTATCCCTGGGAACTAGCAAATCGAAGACTATACCCTAATTTATAGGTCCTAGAAATTTTATGATACTAATTGAAAGCTTGTCAAACATGAGTCTCGGCTGGCCATTCGATTAGAGTATATCAAACAATTGAAGGAAAAAGTAGCTACCAATACCTGCTCAAACTCGGTGGCCCACCCATTCACACCATGTTGTTGCTCAAAAGACTGGACCCATCCGTCAGGACCACCATGATCCATTCCATGCTGGTTAGATTCGTCCGCCCAACTATCTGCAGGATGCAAACCAGGCTTCGTAACAGCTTGAGACTCATTCCAATAATTATCTAGCTCTCGAAATCTCCCAGGAATATGACCTCTAGCTTGAATGCCATCATCAATTTCCAGAGATGAAAATAATGCGTTTACCTGTAAAACAACATATAACAATAATTCAGCTAATGATATTGAGAAAAGAAGTTGCAAACAAAGAAGAGAACATAAAAGGCTTAAGCATATCAGAAACATAAACGGCTTGAACATACAATGAGTAGCCGACGTGCTCATATATAACAGTAATGGTTCTCAACAAAAGCCCGGACCCTCATTTTCATGCTAACATGTAAAATTTATAAGCAAATTTAGTACCAAAGAGGTTGGGCATAAACTTTGAATACCATTGCTACACTTCCTCATAACATTGAATTGGTTTTTTAATTGCTAAAACGGAGACAACATGAATGATATAACACCAAAACGTTAAGCACATATTGTTATAGCTGGACTTGACCCTTAAACTCCAAGTTGGCCTGAAGGCATACAACACAATGATGCAGCTACAGAAAACCATCAGACAAACAGCAAACCTGAGAATTGATGAATTCCTCTCCCCTGTCGGCAAAAAAATGCCGGGCCATTATGCTACTACGATCACGTATGCATTGCTTGTCACTTTGCGACAATCCCAGCAGAGGGAGAGGTGGTGGAAGAAAGGGAATGCCACCACGGCTACTCTCAACAAATGAATGCAGAAAGTTTGACAAGACTCTCTGTGGGGGTCCTGTAATTGAATAAGAAAATTTCAAGCAAGCAAAAGAGAACGCCTGGCTTTAGCATATACAACAAACAAAGACAGGCTTATGAATAATAGATATGAAGGGCCATCTGGGATAAATTGAAGGAACGCATGGTGAAGAAGAAGTTGCATAAACTATGACCGAGCTACTTACTTCATGTAGCTATACTACTTTAACACTATCACTGCTATGCTTGTAACAAAACTAATGATGTTTACATCGCAATTGAAGAACTTATCATTTATTCAATATCAAAACCACAATATCTAATCCATTTTTGTTCCTGAAACTAAATAAATGCGGTCACCAAAGTATGAGGAACCTAGATCACAAACCATCAAAAGTGGGCTGAACTGGCTCATACATAGGTCCCATTGGAGGCATAGGTCCACCACGCTGTACTTCATCCCAAGCTGCACTGAGACCATTCTGATCCACAGAGCGGAAGCCTCAGTAAGAAATCTGATCCCTGATTAAAAAAATTGTCAGACTCATCACAAAGGCTAGATAATCAGAATCAATACCATCACTGGAAAAAGATAAAAAACATTGCAAAGCATTAACCTGAGCACCAGGTTGTAGAATAAGCTGATCTAACTCAGAACCAGGAAGTGAGCTTAGGTGTTGGTCTTGAGAGTAATACTGTGGCCCAGGACCTGAACGGATCGCATTAGGTATCTCCTTGAGCCTTTCCTGCCATCCAAATCATCAATAAAATCAAAAATCTCAGGAAACATGGAACCCAATCGAAGCTATCTAAATCAGAACTACATATTGTAATTGCAAAAACCACGATGAGGAAGCTAAACCTGGGTTTTGGAAGAGGAACCAAGTATGGCGTTGGTGAGAGCTCTGAGAGGGTTGGAGGAAGAAGAAGACCCGGGAACAGCGCAGGCGGCTCCGCCGTTGACAAGGTCTCTCATCGCCATGTTTTTTTTACTCCGCTGTAATCTCGTAACAACCGTCTCCGCCGAGTCTCAAGTTAGTTATTATTGGTTCCAAATCCCAATCTCTAGTTTCCCTCTCTCATGTTTTGGCCACAGCTACGAATTACGTACATATCGTATCTATTATATTAAAAGAGAAGTCATGACTCATTTCATGTGTGATATTTTAGTTTGGATCATCCTTAGAATTTTATAAAATTTCACATAACATCATTATAATATATTTTTTATATTTTAAAATTTTATTTGAAATATAAATAAATATTTTTAAGAAAATTCTAACAAAATCTTTTAAAAATCTTATAGAATCTTTTCAAGATATAGTTTCAACAATTATTTGATTAAATTTTTAATTCTCATAAAATATAATGAAAATTTTAATTCATTTTTTATTTATAAACAAAAAATTAAAATAATGTAAAATACTTTTAAAAATATCCCAAAAGTAGGTCCAATTTAATTTACTTTTTGCATATATTTCATATTTAGAAATAAAACAAAATATATAAATTAGTAATGTTACATAATAATGTTTTTAAAAAATATTACAAAAAATACAAATGTATAAATTTTATAATAATATTATAAGTCACATAAAAATTATTATAAAATTAGATAATATACAGAATTAAATTATATTTATTTATTGATTAATTTTATTATGTAATTTCAAATATTTTTGTATTAAAATACCCGCACGGTTGTACGGGTCAAAATCTAGTTTATATTATTATCCACAATTTATTGGTGGATTTTAATTTTGTGAAGGAAAAACAAACATTTTACTACGCATAGACAGACATTTTTGTAACTGAATCTAACAAAATCTAAATTCATATCGATCTTATATATGTAAAAAGTATATGAATGGATTATTATGTATGGCTGTATTTCCGATTATACTAAAGTACTAGATGATATCCCGCGTGCATGCGCGGGGTGAAATTTTTATATCAATATTTATTCATTAAATGGTTTTTAACATTTTGTAATACTACAATATTTATCAATTATAAAATGATGAATACAAATGTTGGTATCTTAAATCATCACAGGTCTGGACGTTTGAGACTTCGTTGGTTTTGGTTTGATTGAGACGTATTTTCAGATTTTGGTATTATTTTCATAAATTCTATTTGAATTTTACTAATTATCGGATTGGATTCGATTTGGTCTTCTCAATTCAGATTGGATTGGATTGTAACCAATATATGAAATCATCCCAAAAAATATTTTTGTTAAACATTAAAAGTTGACAAAAATTTCAAAATATTTAAACTATTAATAAATCTAATTTAAAATAGTTAAATTCTCTAAACAAACGAAAAGATATTTTAAAAAAAACAAATAAAACAAACTACAAAAATCTTTCGAATGCTATAATTTGTATCTACTAATCTCAAACATTTTCACTAAAATTTTTAAATTAACATATTTATAATATGAATATCTACTAATGATACTTCATATTCGTACGATTTATGATAATTTGTATCTTGTTTGAAAAAAACAAAGTTAAACCATTGATCATAAAATTTTCAATGTGGGATTTTACTATTTTTAGTTATTTATGATCGTTTTAAAAAATTAAAAATATAACCTATAAGAAAAAGTTAATTTTTTATTATATAATTAATGTGATTGTTTAATTTATTTTAATAATTTAAAATTAAAAAAAAAAAAAGAGGACACAAAAATATGCATTATTCATAATCATTAATTACATATATATGTTAATCATATTAGGTAATTTCGTAGCTTTTATTTAAGGAAAGAAAATATATTATTTTATACCTAGCAGAATCGGTCCCTTAAAAAATGTTTATATATTATAGTATTAAATGGAAGAAATTAAATGTTACGTTATTTCATTCCTAGCAAAGTTGGTCCATTAAAAAAATAAGGATAAGAAGCTCTGTGAGTTTGACACGTAAGCATGCTCTTCAAGGTTGTGCATTTATGAATGCTTCAGGATTAATATATAAGGGATTATCTAGATCAGATTCGAATATGAATGGATATTAGATGAATTTGAAAGGAATCAGTTATAAAATCTATCCGAATCTGCTATAACCGGAAAACTGATCCAAGGTGGAGACTCTATTTGTATGAAGGCTAGTGTGAGTAATAATTCCCACGAAGGTAAGCTCGGCCCATTAGGTAAGCCCAATAATTATTTCTTTAAACCGGTTCGACACCTTTTGAACCCGACCAAGGATCCGAATTTAGATCGGGTCTAAAACCAATAAGAATTTCATCGAAAAAGACCAGCGAGAATCGAGACAGAGAGAGAGACAACAATGGCGCCTTCGTCATCGAGCGGTTTGACCTTCAAGCTCCATCCTCTAGTAATCGTCAACATATCGGATCACTACACTAGGGTCAAGACTCAGTTCAACCCTCCGCCTTCACTCTGTGCAACGGAAAATGCCTCCAACAACGGCGAAGCAATGTTGCAGCCTAACCCAAGGGTTTACGGATGTGTGATCGGTGTCCAGAGAGGTCGTACTGTAGAGATCTTCAACAGCTTCGAGCTTTTGTTTGATCCTTCCACTGATACTCTCGATAGATCGTTCCTCGAGAAGAAGCAAGAGCTCTGTAACCTCACTAACTCTCTTACTCTTGTCTTGTTTTTTTTGTAAATTTTATGGGTTTTGATTGTTTTTTTTTTTTTTAGATAAGAAAGTGTTTCCTGACTTCTATGTTTTGGGATGGTACTCTACGGGGAGTGACGCTGAGGAGTCTGATATGCTTATCCACAAAGCTGTGAGTTTTAAGTGTTTTTGTTTTTGAAGAATTAAGGTTTGTTCTGTCTGTGCTGAAAAACTGTTTTGGCTTTCGTGTCTGATTATGGTTGACAGTTGATGGATATCAATGAGTCTCCTGTTTATGTGCTTCTTAATCCGGCAATTAATCACGCACAGAAGGATCTCCCAGTTACTATCTATGAGAGTGGTATGTTTTCACTTACTCTTCTCTTCCTTTACTTGTTTGACTCCTAACTTTTATACTTTTTCTATTGACTTCGTTACTTGAAGAGTTGCATGTCATTGATGGAATCCCACAGCTGATTTTTGCTCATACAAGCTACACAATCGAGGTATGTGCTTAAGCTTGATTCTGTAGTTAATCTGTGATGTGAAAATGGAACTTGACTAAAATTCTTGAGATGTAACCCAAACAGACAGTTGAAGCTGAAAGGATATCAGTCGATCATGTTGCACATCTTAAACCGTCTGATGGAGGCTCAGCAGCAACCCAGTGTGAGCCTTATGTCTCGACGACTCTCATACATGTCATAATCCATTTCTTTCTGTCGCACTAAAATTTTAGTGAATACTTGTTAATACGCAGTGGCTGCTCATCTTACTGGGATACATAGTGCCATCAAAATGCTTAATAGCAGAATCAGAGTGCTCCACCAATATCTAGCCGCAATGGATAAAGGTATCTTCTTTCCTTTCCCAAGCTGAGTTCCTATACTTATCACTGCGGATTTGTGTCACTAGTCCATGATTATAGATGTCAGATCGAGAAAGTTATGTAGTTTCGTGTTTTAGGTGATTAGGGAAATAACTCGTGAGATCTTATTTCTAGGTGATATTCCTTGTGATAACTCACTTCTGAGACAAGTATCTAGCCTGCTAAGAAGATTGCCTGCCATGGAATCAGAGAGATTTCAAGATAACTTTTTGATGGTGAGTTAGATTTGCATAGTATTCTTTCTAAGTATAACTTATTTTTTCAAATGTCTCTCAAAGTTATGCCATTCTCTCCTTTTGCAGGAGTACAACGACAAATTACTAGTAACTTACCTAGCAATGATTACAAATTGTACCAGGTTTGTACTATATGTAACATTCTATATAAAAGCATTCAAGTACACAGTCTTAGGCAGGCCAACGTTTAGCAATCATGCTACGCCTTTATGTTCTGTTATCATCATTAGGAAATATGAAAGGCGTAAGTGTCATCGGACTGATGGCTTTGTTTCATCTCTCAATTTCGTTTTTGGTTCAATCTGCAGCACCATGAACGAGATGGTGGACAAATTCAACACTGCGTATGACAGAAACTCTCGAAGAGGAGGAAGAACTGCGTTCATGTAAAAGATTCTTTCCAGCAGATTCAAGCTCAAAAAGATCTCCTCTTTTGAGGATAGGACCACTCCTGCTTGCTCTTGGCTTTGGGTGCTTACAGACAAAAATAAAAAATAAAAGATCTTCTCTCCAGAAAACTTGTTTGCATTTGCCTCGGAGATAATTTATAAATAAGTCTTGGTCTTACTTGTGATTGTTTCTATCTATAAGTAAGAAGCTTCTCCGTACTGAAAACTCTTGTTTGATTTTTTTCCAATTTTCCATTGTTAGTAAAAAGATTTTGCGATTGAAGCTTTATAAACTTTTTGTTACACCTATAAGGCTTTAGAATTAGGTTATGTCTTGGATTATGTTATGCCTAATCCAAAAAGACATCCAAAAAAGCACAAGCCACACAAAGGAATGAAAATAGAAATAGCCTTTACCTTCCTCCCCAAGGTTTCAAACAAATATAATAAAGAAAATGAAAACAGAAATTAAAAGTTATTGTAATCCCCAACCAAATGCAAAAGTAAAAAGAAGAAGAGGGTAAATCTTCAAATCTGTGGTAATCTACTCATGATCTGGTTATAAACCGATTGTCCGGTCTCCGAAACCGGTTCAACCTTTGGCTCCATCCCTCTATGCATCATAGCTTCACTCATCACACCCGGTTGAGTCATATACGGATGAGGCAAACCCGGTAATTTCCCTTGACCAAACCCTAAACCAGGTAACGAAAGATTAGCTAAACCGGTTTGTCCTAGACCGAACGAGAAACCGGAAGGAGGTCCCAAATGCGGCTGGAAGCTAAACGGACGTCCAAACGGAGACTGATTGTTCGCCGTGAGTTGCTGTCTCTCGTATCTGCCACGTGGCTGCTCTTGGTAATGGTGTGTCTGAGCGGCTGAAGCGCCGCTGTTACCGTTCCCACCGCCTCCGTGGCTGCTGTTACGTGCGGCGGGGACGTCGTGGTTGTGTTTGCCTTCGTAAGTGGTTATAACGGATTTGAGATCATGAGAAGCTCGCTCCACGTGTTTTCTCACTGTACATCCAGGAGCAGTGCATTTGTAATAACTCCTGCAAAAGAAAAACATGTCTTAGTGTGGTTCTGTAATAAGAACAGAGGAGATCACAACAAGAAGTATATAAAGAACCTTGGGTTTGGGTTTCCTTTGACTACTTTCTGACCATACTTTCTCCAACGATAGCCATCGTCAAGAATGTCAACATCACTTGTTGTCTGAACAACGACTCTTGGCTCACGTATAGCTCTTGTTGCTCCACTCATCTCTGCTGCATAAGCTTCAAGTTTCCTTTAAAAAAAAAAACAACAAAACGTTTTTTCAGTAAAAAACAGGCAAACATTTACTGATTTATAACAGTGTTAAGAATGTTAAAGAAACCTTCTTTTGGATTCGGATTCATCCCCTTCTCCTCCTCCACCACCTCCATCATAGCCCAAAGAAGCACTCCCATGAGTCCCTCTATCATCTTCATCTTCTTCATTAGAGAATGTTGATGAAGCATCCACCACAACCACACCACCATTACCATCACCTGACTCAAACTGACCTCCACCCGTTTGAGCTTGAACCGATCCAGATTGGTTTCCATATTCAAACCCTTCTTCAATGTTGTTCTCATTGCTTCCAGCTTGTTGAGTGTTCCACGTTGGAGCAGAATCTCTCTGCTGTTGTTGTTGTTCAGCTTGTTCGTTTCCATCTACTTGCACTCCAGAGCGGCGATTAGGAGGAGGTTTGGAATGATTATGAGCTCCTTTGTATATAATCTCAGTAATGTGACCTTCTCTTGACCTCTCTACCTTCTTCTTCACCGGACAATTCGGGTTTGTACACTTGTAATAGCTTCGTGGATACTCACTTCCTTTCACCAGCTTCTGTCCGTACTTCCTCCAGTTATATCCATCCTCTGCAGGTGCACCACCAACCATCGAATCACCGCCACGTCTCTGCTCTTCTTCTTCTTCCTCTTCTTCTTGGTGATCAACGGTCTCAGACATCTTCCTCTTCTGTCCACTTTGTTCAATGTAACCTATGTTTTTAGTTACATCTTCTTGAGGCTGATGAGAAGATCTGTTGTTGTAGTTGTTACCATAATCAACAGGCACCATCTCCTCCGTTGCTGCGCCTTGGAAGAAAGAGGAAGAGGATCTTGAAACAGGTTGGAAGGTGAATGATGCTCCAATGTTATCAAAGAACTCGTCTTTGGCCTTATCAGAAAACAATCCATTACTACTGTTAACACCTGGAAGAAACGGAAACTTCCCTGTAGTTGGAGAAGGTTGAGCCAATGGGTTAGAGAGAAAGACAGGAGATTCCAAGAGTGTTGCAGGGCTAAGACCAGGAGATGAGATGGTTAAGCAAGGAGAACGAAGACCATTAGAGTCCATGGAAAAGCCCGCGTTAGAGCGGATGTTCTCAGTGTTTAGCTTGGGAGTATTGAAACCAGCACGAGCAGCGATTCTTTCTCTTAAACCACCACCACCTCGTGAGACGTTGTTGTTGTTCTGTGAAGAGTCATTGTTGTTATTATCATTGTTACCAGTAGTGTCTTCTTGTAAACCAGTGACTTGACCATGGTTCAAAGATAGCTCTCTTTCGAGAACACGTTTTGAGTTTTTCTCTTCTCCAATGGACGAGGAGAAAAGGGACCCGGGAGTAGGGTTACAAGGCACCCATTCTCCCATTACAGCAACGTTTTCATCAAAACCAGACATTTAAGATCCAAGAAGTTGACTGAGTCTTTGCTCAAACTGTGATGAAACTCCTGAAAAAATAAAGATTTAAAGGCAGTCACAATCAGAAGCAGATTCTATTGAAGACTTTGATCATCATAAAACTATTAAACAATATTAATCTATCAAAGTAACACAAAATTGTTTTTAAAGTGAACTAATGAGCGTAAAAACACAGGTAGAAAAAGAAAAGAAATTTAAAGTTCAAACCTTTTCTCGGAGTGGACAAAAAAGATAAATCACAGAAAAAACAAAACAAAAAAATGTAAGAACAAGAAGAAGAACAAGATTTTTTTCTCTTTCACACGTTAATCAGCTTTTATGGAATTGAAATATATCATTTTACAATTATAACGAGATAAGATCGAGAAATTATTGGAAAATGAATTATTAGCAGAAACAAACGATCAAATCACGGAGGTTAAAAAGAGAAAACAAAAAAACAATAAGACAACGTCAAGTTATAGATTAAACCAGACGGTAAGTAAAAAAACACAAGAGGTGATTAAACAAATCATGTCTTTTTTTATTATCAAATCCTGAATTTAAGTTAAAGATAAAAAGGAAAACATTTTAAACGTATGAAAAGATTAAATTACGAGAAAAAAGAAAACGGAAAAAGGAAAACAGATGGAGACAATTTACCTGATTGATTGAAGACGAGGAACCACAAACACCGTCACAGCCGCCGTAGCAGCAAACGGAAATTACCAGTTCCGCCGTTAACATCCAACAGCGTTTCTGATCCGACACCACAAACCAAAACCCACCCGACCCGGATCCGAATTTAGCACTCTTTTAAGATATAGAGATATTTATTTTTCTCTTCCCTTCTCTGTTCTTCTGGGTTTCACAACAAACCCAGAAAACAAAAGACGATTTTTTATTTTAAAAAACTTGTAATTTTGACCTTTCACACAAAACAAAATGATGATGATGATTGTTGACAAAAGAGACAAAGATTTCTACAGTATGATTAGGTTAATCACTGTGACTTTCTCACCATCCTTAACGAGAAAATAGAAGAGAGAGAATTATGAAACCATTTTGATATTTTTCTTGTGATTGGTACTGAGGAGAAAGGATGAGGAGGAATAAAGTTTTGTTTGCAGAGAATGGTGAAGACGATGGTGAATAACATACACAAAGAGCGTTTTTTCTCCCTACTTAATTCTCCTGTGGAAACACGCCACGTGTAATAATCAAAGTTACGAGAATAAGATCGTCGGTTAACAGGTGCTATGTACCGTGAGGTGTAAAGCAGGTGATCACTAACGAATTACAGTATCTGCCAACTTTTCACATTTATTTCTTTTCCATAATTCATTTTTTCCGGGTTTGGCTATTAATAGGAACACAAATTAATTAAAAAACGGATATTTATTGCCAAAAGTTCCTATTCGGCCACATGTTGAATCAAGGAAAAAAACTTAGAATTACTCTATTACAGTGAACATACTCTGAATCACATGAAATTCCTAAAAAGAAAACTAAATTATCCTTTGTGGACGAGAACAAATTAAAGTTAAAAATAAAGCAGGTTGTTGTTGTTTTTACTATAAGAGTCACATTGGTTAGAAAATTATGGAACAGAAAATCTAATCTCTTCTATTTATAGTCTACGTTTGTAAGTAAATATATATATGCTAGAAATATTTTCAGTAAAAGGGAGAACTAATGCCTCATACGTACTCTTGTGATTGTTATACATTACACTGTTATGTAAGAATTAGACTTAATAATCTGATACGTACTCTTGTGATCGTTATACATTACAATGTTTGTCAAAAAAAACAAAACAATTATACTTAATAATCTCTTCAGTGCTATTTATAGTCTACGTGTGTAAGTTACTAGAGGACATAACTTAATTTTGTCATATATTGTCACCCTAGAGGTTATACATACTGTTTTGATATATACATTTAAATTGTAACAACTTAACTTAATGATATAGTAAGATCTCATTTTGTTTTTGTAATATAATATCACTGTGCTAGGGTGAACGAATATCTACAATCTTGATTTGTGACCTTTCTAATATTCATGTTTCAGATATTCAGTAGTCATGTATGAGAGACATAATGATAACTTCGATACGGTTTGAGACGGATTGTTTGGACTTAGTGGACATGACTACAAACCCGGAGGATTAGCCAACTTTCACTATAGAGATTGAAGTTTTCCACAGATACAAGAGGATTTCAAGGATGTGAGTTTGTCTCATATTCCTCGGAACATGAATGGTCGAGCGGACGCATTAGCAAAAGAAGCAAGGATCAGAGAATACATCTTTTCCTATATATATCAGACCCGGTCAGACGGACGGAGGTGCTCCTAGGAGAATCAGTTCGTTTGGCTACCACTTAATCTAGTTTAGATGGATAGTTGAAAAAAAAAAAAGATATTCAGTAGTCTAGATATCCAAACAATTAATATTTTATTTCTGATTTGATGTATAAAATTAATATAAAATAGTAATTTGTCATTACAATTTTTTTAATTACATAATTTTAAATTTTTTAATTTTTAAGTAATTAATTTAGTGAATAAAATATAATAAAACTTATGGAGATATATATAATTAACGGATTAGATCGGATATGTCTTTTGAATATTAATATTTGTAATTTATCCGGTCTTTTTGAAAGATACTGAATTTTATTGTTTGGTTTAGGTGCATTTTTTGTTAACTGTTTAGTGATTTCATTAAGACTTGTTACATGTGTTCTGTAGACTGACATCAAAAGTCAATATGTGTTTGTGTTCAGTCTCAGTTACAACAGTAAGCTACAATTATGTTTTCCTATTAACTGATTTTTTTGTTTACTTTTTTTCCCTCGGATATTACTATGATACATGTTTTACGGACCCAAATCATCGTTTAGTATAAATGTATAAGTTCGAACTATTCGCATATGAAACACGCAACACACACACACACACATATATATATATATAGCAACCAAGTCTTTCAACCCCAATCAACAAGAATTATAAGACGTATAACTGTTTTATTTTGAATTTGACATATTCACATACATGCATGTGGTTTTGTTTTCATTATGGTATTTTACATGCATGCATGTGGTGTACACGGGACCCTTTTAGATGAAATGTGTCAACCTTAATTACATTACTATAGCTAGGAGATACTTTTAATCCATTGTAAATTTCGGATGCTACTAATTACTTGCTTGCCTAAAAAGAAAGATATATTACATGATTTATGTTGCTAGTTACATAAGATCTAATCGTGATTAATAGTAAATATAAATATATTTAAACATAGATGATATATACTCGTAATAATTTTTATATTTTTATAAAAATACCTTGTAATAAACGATCTAGAAAAATGAAGAAAATCTTTAAACAAATGAAACAAGTCTGGACACAAGATTATTTACAGACATCTAAGAGCATTTTTAACCGGATTTAAAAAAAAAATTAAAATTTGGTGGAGCTATGGTTCTTAAACAAAATTAATTTTAAAATCTGCAGGTTCACCATTATCTTAAGCGACAACTCTTACGGATTTTGTGTAAAAGACACGTGGTTATCCGTGATTGGTTTTTTATTTATTTATTTATTTTTAAATACAAAAAAATAAAATTTTAAAAAAATAAAAAATCTTAAAAACTCTTAGCTAAGAGCTAAGGAGTAATGATGCTTTAAGATATTTTCCTAACATTTATACAATTTTACCAATTTTTTTTTACAACTTTGTAATCCCTAAATACACAATTTTAATAATACTACTATGGAATGTACAAGACGAAACAAGAAAAGTGACGGACGTACGTTAAAGGTTACAGAATTAATAAGATTGCATATGTAAGACATTAATAAAATATAATTAGTATAATGCCTTTAAATATACCTTAAACCGAATATTTAATTGGAAATTGTGGAGGCAGTTTTTCATCCAAAAAACAGTCAAAAAGAAACATTGACCAAGCCTTTAATAATTTTTATCCTTTTCTCTTTAATAAGAGCCTCAAATAATCCCGTTACGGGGCCGTGACACAACAGTCATGTGACAGCCAAAGCACGGTAGTGGCGTGGTGTACCTTTCTTTTCTTGCGATATTGTTCCTTTTCTCCAGTGGGGCCCGCAAAACGAACTTTGAAAGGACAGAGGATCGACGGCTCTGATTTCCTGTCAGTTTTTTCATCTATAGTAGGCCCCATACTGTAATATGGACCCACAGTACTGGAAAGGAGCAAACGTAGTTTAAAATGCTATATCACTCAGCCCAGTAGACCCATTAGTCGTAAATAAGAAAATGTTTAGGATTGACCTGATGGACATTGTTTTGAGTTTGTTTGATTAAAAAAAAAGGTCATTGTTTTGAGTTTTGACACTCTAATGAGCAAACCAAAAGTCAAGTAATGAAGTCAACTCCCCCACCCGACTGGGAATACCCGACGATATGTTGTTGTTAGAAAAGTCCTTTGTCTAGACTTTGTTTGTTTAGGAACCTATGGGCTCTCCACTCTATATTCAAGATATACGGCCAAAAGAGATGCTTCTCAGCACCAAACGTGACACTCAAGGTTTTTGCAGAAAAATGCCCTAGTCAGAAATAGCTAGAGACAAAAGGAGAAGGTGGAGTCTTAGTTATAGACAGTGGTGTAAGCATGATATTGTTGGAGGATACCTTGGACAATCACTACAAGAAAACTGTCGGTGACCGATGGATGAAACCATCAGAATTTGGAAACAACGATTTCGATGGAATCCTGGCGAAAACTGTCGTCAATATCATTTCATCGGAAAACAAAAATCCGTCGAGAATTCCAACGGTTTATCAGTGAGCACAATTTTGATCAAAATTGCGTCAGAAAATTAAAAATTGACTAATGTCTTTTTTGTCGATGTTTGGCTAAATCCCGACCAAATTTGTTATTAAGAATCATGTCCGGTTTTGAGGGTGTGCACACAGTGCAAAAGCACATAGCACAGTTTTAATTTGTCTAATTTTCTATAGAATTTAGGACCCTAAATTTTTAAAAACACTGCAAAATAAGGCCCTAAATATTTAAAACACTACAAAACAGGACCCAATTATTTTACTTGTTATACATCTTAGAGAACATCTTTTTTAAAAAATTGGTCCAGCACTAGGCTCTAAATTTCTTTGAGACGGGTCTGTTAAGAACAATGGTTGGGCAGGATCGAAGTGAATGGATGGGTCAGATATGGGGATGAGATCAATGGATGTGATGTAGGGGTTAAGGCATTGAGTTCTAATCCATTGAAGTTTAGTAAGAAAGATCATAGACTCATGGTGAGAAGTATGAGGCGGTTTATATTGAAAGAGCGTTGTTTAGAGATGGAGAATGGCTTTATGCGGATAGTGATGGTGTCTTGATCTGGAAGACCGAATTCTCATTTTAATTCACAATGTTACAATGATCGGTTCTTGGAATAATAGCTGGTTTATTTTGACTTCTTAATAATCAGTTTACTATTCTAAATACAAATCACTTTGTACGCTTTGTGAAAAAACAAAAATCTTATATAATAAAATTGGCTTTTTTCACTCCTTGGGGGGAAAAATGTCATGTGTCACCTTCTTTTAATGATATTTTTTTATATTTATTATATTTAACAAATTTTAGTTTACTTAATGAACCAATAAATGCTAATAAAAATTTAAACATTAACTAGAACAAATTTTCTACTTCATTTTTTTTTTTAGTTTTCTATTTTAATGAAAATTTACAAATAATTTTAATATATATTATTATTTATGAACAAATGATATATATAAGTTAATGTGACTTTTTTTTACAATGTACTTATATTTAGTTTATTTTTTATTAATATTATATATGCATTTATATTGTAATGGTGATATATGATTTATAAATTTCTAAAATAAATATTTATACATCTCTTATATAATAAAGTAGAGTTTTTTCTCTTCATAGAGGCAAAAGATGATACTTGTCATTCTATCATTTGTTGAAAGAGTTTTAGGTTCAATTATAAAAAAATTTATTTTATTTGAGTTTTTATTGATTTTTACAAATGATATGATTTTTAATAAATATTTTTAGTCCAGTAAATTAAAAAAAATCTTTCTCACTTTCAACCTATTCTTCAAGATGGATGGCAACTTTCATATCTCTAAATATGAAATATCTAAACAAATATCCTTGATTCTTAAATCTATTTGCTCGATTTTAAAATCAATATTCTTGATTCTTAGATCTATTTTCATTTTGAAATCAATATCCTTGATTTCCAAAAGATTTCTGTAAAATGAGAGTTTAAAAGAAAAGAAAAAGCTCCAACAAGAGTCAAACCAAAACGAGGAAAAACTGAATTACACAACAATTTTAAAACCGAAGGTAAAAAAAAATGAAAAGACAATTAATATCATTTTGAAATCAACATCATTGATTCTTAAATCTATTTAATCGATTTTAAAATCATATGATTTATTAAGATTTGGATATCCTTGATTTTCGTAAAAAACTATTTTCATTTTGAAATCAATATCATTGATCCTTATATCTATTTGCTCGATTTTAAATCATATGATTTATCAAAGATTTCTAATCCAAATGTTTTTCTAAATCCATTAAATTAGTGGAATTAGTAACCCCCATCAAATGTTATCACATGTTTACTATAATTATTCAAGAATAAAAATTGTATTAATTATCAAAATGTCATGCAAGCATCTGTAATGCGTGTAAGCTTACAAAAGGTTCAGTATATAATTTTTTTAAAAACTATCAAGTATTATAGACTCAGTGTAGTAGCATTATTGTAGTTAAGAATGATTATATTACAAAATTTAATATATACTACTTTAATATGCGATTGTTGGCAAAAATAAATATACAATTATTTTTTCAAATTTTTTTTAAAATTTAAAAAAAAACTAATAAATATAAAGTTATATAAATTTGAATTATCAGGTATGATATTTTATAGTTTTTTGTTCAGTAAATTTGAGAAAAATATTACCCGCTTCAACCTCAAAAAACTTTTTTTATTAAAAAATACTATAATAGACATTGTTCAGAAGTTTGAAGATCAAAACAATTACCTATACAAAGACATTATTAAATACATCAGTTTGTCAAAAAGTAGTTCATCAAACAATAACCAAGCAATCCCATCTAAACATTACAGTTTTTGATCAAATATTATGTAAATTTATTTAAAATCTTAGCATAATTAAAATAGAAACATATAACATCTACTGTCGATATTAGTTCGTTTACAATTTACTAATTTAAACTTCATTTTATGATTATATATTTAAAAATCAGTATATAGAGATTATATATATTCAAAATTAATATAATAAATTAAATTAAACTAAAATTTATATAAGAAACCCGGGCGTAGCCCGGGAAAACCATTAGTATAAATTATTTTCAAATGAATTAGAAGCTTTAATTATTTTGCTACTTCTATATTATTAACTAGGTACTTTCCCGCACCTTGTGCGAGGAATATATGTCCAACAATATTAAATGTGTTTACATATTAAAATTTTTCATCACGATGATAATTAATATATAATATTTTTAATGTATTAGTCTTTAATTTTAAGCGTTAGAATATGGATCATATTTCACTATATCTCATATACTTTATATTTTTTGTTTCTCTTTTTTTCTTGTTCTTCCTCTTTTTTTCCTTTTGCTCTCTTTCTTCTATTTTCTGATTTATACTATGAAAATAAATCAGAAACTCAATTATAAAACCAAATCAGTCGTAACCCTATTCCAAAGCTTCTAAGTTTATTACGAAGACTTTATTGGGTTTTATGGTTTGGTTTGGGTCTGGGCATTCAATTTTAAGTTTGATTTTGGTTCAAATATTTTGGGTTCGGTTGGTTATTTCAGTTTTCGGTTCGGTTGGGGTAGCAAAGTTAGGAACTGGATAATATTAGGAAAAATTTAGGTCCAGTTTGGTTCCACTTAGGAGGGTAATTTCTGATAGTTTAGAGTTTTTCAGATTAAATATCGGTTAATTCGAGTTGTTTGGGTAAAAAAATATCGGGTTATTCAGACAATTTTAAATATTTTAGGTTTAAAAAATATTCAGATAAATATTGGATTAAAAGGTGGACTATCATCATCAAGATCATCTTCACATGGATGAACTATCATCCTACAGGTACAACACACAAAAAAATACCACTTTGGTGTAGTTTCAATGGAAACAATCTTGCAAAGTGTAACACATTTTCCCACCTATAAAAACAAACAAATCAACTTCACATAAAACTAAATTTCATCAATAACTTCAGTTGACATCCGTTAGTTGTAACCAAAACTATTTAGTAAGTGGAACATACCTCATTCGATGCATTCAATGCACCGATAGTTTTTATTGGATTCTTAATGAAAAACTCATCATATAAATCTAATCTTATAGACGTAGATTTTGGATCAAAGTTTTCTCTAGTAATAGCCAAATCATCATTGGGTAATTTGGATTTGAAGTCGAGCACTTCTTATAGTTGTGGATCAAAAAAATTGCAGTGGCATTGAATACATTAGAAACAGTAACAGCTCCTAAAACATCAACAGAATTACAACAACAAATAAATATTATATATTATCGTCAATTTAGATGTTAGATTATGTGGGAAAAAATACCTCTGAATTCTCGCACACAAACAAATCGAGCAACACAGACAATACATGATGCTTTATTAGATTTAAATAAATCTGATATTTGCTTTGCATACCTAGACCACAACGTAAATGTTAAACGTGTATCACTAAATATTTAAAATACAAAACAGTATAAGATTATTAAAATAAAATAATATAAAGTTAAAAGCTGAATAAAACTTATGTTATGTCACGAATTGTTAATTCCAGCTTAGTTGTTGACTTTCCTTTTGCCATGCGATCTTAAAAAAGGTCCAACATTCACAATTTCACCAATAATATCTAAAACACAAAACATTAGAATAAGGAAGTGGTGAAAAAGAGAATATAAATAGGGACACATCAATTTAAAACACTAAATATAGAAAATTTACCGATCAAGACTTCTTTTTCATACTCACATCCTAATATTTCCTTAGAATCTTTGAAATAATTATTTGGCAACTCTTTTGGAAAATCATCACAAGGAGTGATTTTGGTTGTTCTATAAAAGTTAATCTTAAAAGGAAGAGGATTTGTTCTATATTCTCTTGTATAATCACTGATGGTGAAATTATTCAGAATAAAAGAGTCTCTTTGAAATAACTTAGATTTGAAGTTACTAAGAAAACGTTCATCAATAAAAGCATGAATCTTCGTACCCTAAAAAAAAATTACAAAAATATATCAGTAAAACTAATTCATAATTAGTACTAAGCAATAAAAAAGAAAAATACAATACTTACAATGGTATCAACCAACACTAATTCAATCGAAACTATTTTTGTATTTTTCCATGTATTCCAAAGTTTTAACACTTTGACTTTAATCTTATAACAATCTTTAGCCGGATCAATCTCTCCAATAAGAACAAGAGAAGCATGTTTTTTTCTCAACAAAGACATTGTTGGGAAGTTATTATTTTTGCTGAGAAGTTATAAAATTTGTGTGTAAATTTTATTTTGTGTGAGATGTAAACGAAAGAAACTTGAATTATATATATATAGATGTTCGTAATCTAACGTAGTATGCTTTCATTGTCGTGATTATCTAGGACAATATTTACTGAATTTTATACTAAACTAGTGGTGTACCGGCGCTACGCGCCGGATTCATATATGTTATTATAAAAGAAGTTGCGATTTATTTTGTGGCCTTGGTGAAGAGATTATGTTCAGAAATTTGATGTTGTAACTATGTTGAAGACAATGATCTTTTCTGATTATTAGTGGAGTATCACAAGTGGTGTTATTAATCGAAACAAATAAAAGTAGAGTAAAAATTTGATAGACTTTATAAAGTTAATTTAGTAAATACTTAAACATAAAGTAAAGTTCATGTTTGTAAATTAAAAATGTAAATAGTTGTGTTTGTTTTGTGATTATGTTCTTTCAAGGAAGATAATATATAGTTCCGTTCTCTTAAAATAGTAACAATCCTAGACTGACCGTTTATATCTTATACACAAAATAGTAACAATCCTAGACTGATCGTTAATATCTTAAACGCCACCATTCTCGTGACCGTTAAAATCAAGTCCCGTGAGCATATATAGATAATCAGAGATATAAAAGGCGAACTTAAACGCTAATGCTTCACTACAAGAAAAATGAGCTTCGGTAACACACGGAAAATGCTACTAAAGGGATTTCGTAGCGAAACAACAAACGCTGTATAATGAGGAGCTACAGTAGACCCCCCCCCCTACCATAGCAGTTTTTATGCGCTATAGTAGATTGACCTA